TGTTGTTCTTGGTGTTTGCATTAGGATTGATCCTTTTTACGTTGTACAGTACCATTATGCAGCAAAGGAACCTGAATTGTGATAGATATTCTTTAAAAATTACGAAATGGTAAATGCCTTTGATCAATGTTATATTAACTTTAAGATTTTTCGAAAATTGAATATTGTAAACCTTTATAAAAATCTCTTATTTTTAAAATAATTTAATGAAGTAATTTTTATCTAATTCTTAAAAAAGCTATCAGATCATGTTACTCTAATCATTTTATTGAACTATATACTCATACAAAATTCTGCGTAAAATCGTAATCTCAGATCTCGCATGTAAGATATTAAAAATCAATGTATTGTATTGATTCATCTATGCGGCCTTTACCGCCAAAAATCAACTCTTTCAATTTTTAATTTAAGACAAAATAAATTATATTGACTTATAGAGTACACTGATATCAATATTTTTGATCTGTACACTTTTTCCTCTACAATCAATAGATTTTAAGATACAGACAAAATAAGATTTTCAAGTACGTAAAGACGAAACTGAATATTCAACTATTTTCAAACGAATTGACAATTATTAATAGTAGCTGACGATAAATAGTATTTTATTATGGTATTTTATCATACCATTTATTATGCAAAGCCTCATTAAAAAATATCAACTAGTACTAAAGTTATGATCAAAAAGAAATGTCATATTTTCAATCTATCCATGGTATGTACGAGTATGTCTACCATTGAATATGACATTTCTTTTTGATCATAACTTTAGTACTAGTTGATATTTTTTAATGAGGCTTTGCATAATAATTGGTATGATGAAATACCATAATAAAATACTATTTATAGTCAGCTACTATTAATAATTGTCAGTTTGGTTGAAAATAGTTGAATATTCAATTTTGTCATTACGTACTTGAAAATCTCATTTTGCCTGTATCTCAAAATCTATTAATTGTAGAGGAAAAAGTGTAGAGATCAAAAATATTGATATCAGTGTACTCTATAAGTCTATATAATTTATTTTGTCTTAAATGAAAAATTGAAAGAGTTGATTTTTTTTGGCGGTAGAGGCCGCATAGTGAAATAAACACAATATAGTACATTGATTTTTAATGTCTTACGTAAATGATATGAAACTGAGATTGTACACTTCATTTATACAGCATTTATTTTTTACTCTACTATGAATTGATGAAAAAAAACTATTCTAAAGAGCATTGACCGATATTCACACCAGGTATTCTACACATTGAAAACAATAATAAGATATGTCTTGATGGTGTTTGAGAAACGAGTGACAATAGAAACAATAATGACAAATACAATAAAAACTGCATTGTATCTTGTACTTCAAAAGAAGTATTCTGTTGAATATTTTAATAATTCTATCTGAATTGTTCTGTTAGAGAATGAGAGCAACGTCTAAAAAAGATAGATAAACAATATAAAAACTACGTACATGTAAAAATCTCACCATTATCCTCGACAATCAGGCAAATCAAAGTGATGACTAGACAAACTGATAGGTATGAACGCTGACTCCTCTATGGTTTCACTATCCACTGAGAGATAAAAACCTTGACGACTACAATAGGTGAACTGCACAGAAAAATAATATATTTCAATATTGTATTTTTAAATAATGTGAAAAAAATGTGACACGAGCAATGATATTGACAGCCACAACTCAATGTCATTTCTCTTTTATATAAAATCGATGAAATATCAAAATATTCCACTCCACGGATTCGTGCATGAAATAAACATAAATGATCGAATACAAAAAGATAATCGACGCAACGTTGCACACGAATACTGAAATTTGCGGTAAATCCATCTTTTAGTCATTTACAGATTTTTTTGTTATTTTCATCACTGCAAACGCAAGTTTATGATAATGAACTAATTGTATGCAATACCTTACCAGAAATATTTTGCTCTGCTGCTTCAACAAAAGATTAACGAACAAAGAAAAGGTATTCATGCTAAGCCAATATTACACTTCGAGTTTCGGCGCATACGTATGTCGTTAACGAACAGGAATACAATTCGCTACATTCTCATAGAATGTTACTTGCTGGTTGACCGGGAAATTTCGCGGGAAACAGCGTGGCACGTGAACAAGTGAATCTGAGAACAAAGAACTGCCGCGAACTCGTGGGCTACTCGTATCGTGTTTTCGGAGCGAGCAGTAAAGTGAGAGTGAGGTAACGCGAACAGCGAACTGGCTCGATGTTATTTGAAGGAGCGCCATCTCAACAGTATTCGTATATGCACGGTATTGTAATAACCCCACCCTTGCCGTTGGCGCGAACAATGAATAATTTGTATTTAGTTGTAAGCGCGTGATGAATTTGAACGTGACTCGATAAAATAAGGAATGAGAGCGTTCATTGACCGACTTTATAATTTGGGTAGCGTGGAAAATTCAAATGAAAAAAGAGAGATCAGTTATGCTTCAAACTGCCAATTGCTTTTTAATGACGAAAGATACAAGAAAAATTTCACAAGTTTCTCTCGTGAGGGCTCTGCTCTGACTGACTTGTCGTTGTCCTGGAGCGTTCTCCTTGGCGCTCCCCTCTGTCACTCCCAAAGGGGTAGGTTTAGCATCAACACCTCCAAAGAGAGGGAAGAGTAAGAGTTTTTTCGGCATCCAGTCATTTGATGAAGTGGGCGTCATCCTTTCTTCGAGAAAGGCCTCGAAGAAAGGGTGCAGTAAAAAGGGAAAGTTTTCGCGGCACGTTCGGACCTACGTGCTTCATCCTTTATTGCCGGTTTAGAGCATTTTTTCTGCTGTTTGCTCCGACGCCAATCTTGCGCTCGCAATTTGTCCAGGTGAGCAACATGTGTAGCGCAGACGTCGGCACGCTCGAGTAGATGCCGTAGTCGAGATTTATTGTAGTGCAATAAATCTTTCTTTATTCGTTTGTTTTTCCCTTTGAATATTCGTAGTAAGCGTTGCATTTTCAAGTGACCATTTACACGTTTTCGCTTATATTATCGACGTTCATAAATCTCGCGGGTGTACATATGCTGTTTGCGCTTGCGCCTTATTTCATACCTGTCATATACATATGTTATAGACGTAACGTGACGTGTCCGTTCGTCACAGTATTAACAATTCTAGTGGGAAATTCTTATACCTATAATTTTGAATTGTAACGTAACAAGGAAAGATGCCTTGTGGTTTAAATTAATTTTTTTCTAACCATTGGCCTCAATTACAAGTACGTCGTCTCTGCTATAAATTACTTGAAAATAGTGACAAACGGATATATGAATTTTCGCCGCATGCGCCACCATTTCTTCATGACGTCACCCAGCACGCCGGTCAGTAGCCGCCCAGTTCGTTTGTTAGCGGAACTGCAGTTTTAAATGGAGTATAAATTTCGTTACGTTTATTAACATAAGCTTAAGTGGAAAGGCTTAACATAAGGCAAATTGGAATTTTATTGAAATGTGGTCAATATGAGTACGTAATGCAAAAGAAAGCTAGTTCATTGAATGTGAATATTCGCGCGCAGTTAACCTATATGGTATAACGTTTAGAATCCATTATTTGTATTATTCGTCAGTACTTTTGAATTACTTACTTCGGATAGGACTCGTCCAAATATTTGAGCAATTATGTTATAATACAGACAAAATGAGATTTTCAAGTACGAAACTGAATATTCAACTATTTTCAAACGAATTGACAATTATTAATAGTAGCTGACTATAAATAGTATTTTATTATGGTATTTTATCATACCATTTATTATGCAAAACCTCATTAAAAAATATCAACTAGTACTAAAGTTATAATGAAAAAGAGATTTTATATTTTCAATCTGTCCATGGTATGCATGTCTACCACTGAATATGACATTTCTTTTTGATCATAACTTTAGTACTAGTTGATATTTTTTAATGAGGCTTTGCATAATAATTGGTATGATGAAATACCATAATAAAATACTATTTATAGTCAGCTACTATTAATAATTGTCAGTTTGGTTCAAAATAGTTGAATATTCAATTTTGTCATTACGTACTTGAAAATCTCATTTTGTCTGTATCTCAAAATCTATTAATTGTAGAGGAAAAAGTGTAGAGATCAAAAATATTGATATCAGTGTACTCTATAAGTCTATATAATTTATTTGGCGGTAAAGGCCGCATAGGTAAACAAAGTATCAACTCACTTATACGTATAGTGACATTCGAATAGTTTCATGTTATGCCAGCTCAGTTCTTCGTATAGTCATGTTTAACTGGCTCATTAGTTTTGATATTGATTTTGTATTTTGATGAAGCTCAGAGCTTTAAAAGTTGATTAAACAATCTTATATAACAAAAGCTTGCACAATTCAAATAGAGACTGATATAATTGATTTGATATTGTTACTAGTACTATTAAAATAAAATTTAACTCTCATCGAAAGAATAAATTATTACTAATTGATATTGACTTGAATATCAGTATTCGAATGACTGAATTGACAATATGAAATTATATTTGAAAGTAAATTAATAAGTGTATAAGTCATCATGTAAAGTCTCCCTATGTCATAATTCTCAACCAAATGTACATACTCCGTACCTCATCTCTGTTTCTTCCTTTGTGATAGACAATCATATCCAAAGTCCAAGACGAAAGCGGTTTCTCTGGAAGCGATTCGGAGCCTGCCGAAGAAGTGGAATGTAAAGGAAAGACTGCGAAGGTATATGCTGCAGTAGGCATACACCTCGGCCACAGAGAAGTCCAGTTTGTTTCGGAAGATGATATTAAAAATTTTGATCGAAATCGCAAGGGTTTCTCTTACGATGCTTTCATTGTGCATTTTGTGATGTAATTCAGCACTTGCGCACGTTTCAAGCGATACGTATGAACTATTGTTTGGGCTGAATTTTAATTACTTGTATTTCTTTTTCAGATAGTATAACTTACCTGAAAGAGAAGAAAACTAGATGGCCAAAAACAAACTACAGGAAAAGCGATGTATTGCGCGAACTAGCACTTGAAAACGTAAAAGTCCAGGAAGTTGAAGAAACAAATTCGACGTAACAAATAAATTACTCCAAAAAATCTCTTAAAAAGAGTACTCTAAAAGGGAATAATCCAAAGAATAATGTATCCAAGGTAAAACACACACACCCTTATAATATAATAATATTTGTCTGTTTGTTTCTAACCCCTTTGATCTTTATATGCTGTAGATACCGGCACCTCCGAACACTTTCGACGTTGCACTCAAGAATTGCTCCGGCATCATACCTACTAAGAAGTTGCAATTCGGTGACTTGGATAATGCTCGTAGCTCGAGGAATGAGGATATGGCACGAGAATTAGCAGAAAAGGATGCCAAAATTGCAGATCTGATGGAGGCTTTACGAAAACAGCAAGAGAAAAGTGAGAATAACTTTTGGCTTGAAGGCAGCCCTGAATCCCATAGTAATGTACCATCTGCTGAAGATCAGATATTCTTCACTACACTTGCATATATTTTTATATTGTACATGCCATTTTAACCATGTTTTTTTTTTATTGCAGTAAGTCCTCGGAGAACTTCTCTGATTTCGACACAAAAATTTTCAAGCACGAAGAGTCCAACAGTTCTCATCACTTCATCCAAATCACCACAATACTGTACGTATTATATTGCATCGAAATTCATTTTTGTATTTTTACTCACGTCGTAACTATTTGTTTTAGGTACCACTCCGAGATGTAATGCAAGAAGACTCACTGGGAACAGAAAAAGTCCTCGAATTTCGGCACACAAACTTTCAAGTACTGAGAGTCCATTGAATCTCAGTACTTCATCCAAGTCTTCACAATACTATGCGTATGTTGCATCAAAATTCATTTTGGTATTTTTACTTACGTCATAACTATTTATTTTAGGTACCACTCCGAGATTGAATGCAAGAGGACTCACTGGTAACAGAAAGTCCTCGAATTTCGGCACAAAAACTTTCAAGTACTGAGAGTCCATCGAATCTCAGTTCTTCATCCAAGTCTTCACAATACTGTACGTATATGGCATCGAAATTCATTTTTGTATTTTTACTTACGTCATAACTATTTGTTTTAGGTACCACTCCGAGATTGAATGCAAGAGGACTCACTGGGAACACAACAAGTCCATGTGTGGTTGATGGAGACAGAACCGTGGACGTCGAAGTGAAGGTTGAAGAAGAAAATTCAATTCCGAAAGCAAAGAAGCAAAACTTGGATGAAGGGGAGAAAAAAAAGGATCTAAGTCGTGAAAACTGGTCACAATTTCACCTACACTTTAGAAGATTATAAAAATTCAGGATTAGAAATACGAACTGAGTTATCTCCATGGACTAAAAAGGTTATATTGGAAAACGGAAAAGAAGAGCACATATGTATGCATTTTTACAAAATGATAATTATTCGAATCTTCACATCCATAATCTATGTATTTCTTACAGGTCGAGATGATCCATTTGCATTTCGGTATTTCTATTAGCATGGATAGTTGGCGTAATGCCTTGGCTGCTAAATCAGCGCCGAGATTCCTGAAGGTCATGCTGTTGCAGATTTTTGAGCCCAAAGAGTGTACGACCTTTTCTGTATAAGTGACGAGGATTGCATGATCCGCTGACAGAAAATATGTGCCATCAAGGCAATATAACGTACTGAGAAGTATGACACTTTTTATTATTATATTTGTACAAAAATTAAAATATTATCCATGATTACTAATTTATTATAAATTTGCAGAAGTTTGGCTACACTTTCTCGTAAAGAAGAAAATGACCAAGGCTAAATGCACTGATGCTGCAGAAACCCGAGCACGTCAGAAAATTATTTATGGGTTTGGTCGTTAACTGGGAGTGGTGATCAATCAAATTCGGACTTAATTTCAATCTAGTAAAGGCAGGGTTGCTGCCAGAATTTGAAAAAGGGAATGCCAGTGAAGAAGAAGTAGAAGAAATATTTGTTGAGTAAGCTGAATTCATTTATTCAAAAACGGCGTCACTTTCATTTTATTGTGATGAATAAACCGCGAAATAAGAAACAGTTTTTTTACGATTTTGTATAGTACTGTACAAACTTTCAACAAAATACGTGCACATTCATTCGTATCAGTTCATGTAAAAGTACTCGTTTCATTTTCTCTTTTAGCGTGAAATTCAAGTTTTCTCGTGTGGCACTAATGATCATTCTATTTGAACTTCAAAATGAGAACTATTTTTTTCTCTCTCTATTTACATTTTTAATTTCATCTACGATTGTTACATCAGCATTAGTAATCTTCCTTGACTGATTTGTGTACTTACTGTATATACTGTATACAATTATTATTGTATGACTTACTTATATTACTGTAGCGATGTATACACTGTAAGCATATTTCTTTTTCTTATTTAATGATTAAGTTACAGATATTAATTCATAAGCATACATTTAATTTCACGAGAATCAAGCAATGTCTCGTCTTCGAGCTTTAATTATTATATAGAAAATTACATAATGTTTTTTATTGAAGTAATTTTAAATTACACTTTATATGTAAGTTTAAAAAAAACGATTCTAATTATGCTATCATTTATTAAACGATGTATAATGGATAATTTAATAAAGAATTAACTTATAATTTCATGCATACGTATAATAATATTAAACAAAATAGAATTATGTAGGAAAATGACGTCGTCATTGTCCAATGAAAATAATAGCAATCGATGACGTCATTATTCTAATATTTAAATCAATGGGAATATTATGTTGTTATGCTTGTCAATAACGTCATTCTTTTACCAATGAAAGCGAATAAAAAATGTTTTTCAAAAAGACGTCATTTTATGGGAAAAAATTTACGAAAAGACGTCATTTTTCGAGAAATAAAAAGTTGAAGAAGTTTTAAAAAATGACGTAATTTTTTTAGGCAAAAAGCAATGAAAAAAGTTGTTATAAAAGAACGTCATTTTCTACGGAAAAGCGGCAAAAGGGTTTATAAAAACGACGTCATTTTCGAAGACAGAGCGGTATCAAGTTTTATAAACTGACGTCATTTTCTTGGCCAAAACCCACCGACAAAAGTCTTTAAAAAATGACATCATTTTTTGGGGAATTCAGCAAAAGGGTTTATAAAAAAGATGTCATTTGTGAAGACAGAGCGGTATTGAGTTTTATAAACTGACATCATTTTCTTGGCCAAAATCCACCGACAAAAGTTTTAATAAAATGACGTCATTTTTCACGGGGGAAGTGATGAAAAAAATTTTTTATAAATGACGTCATAAGTGTTCCAATTTATGACATCAAATCACGTCATTTTTGACGTCATTGAAAGACGTCAGGAAAATACGTCATTATTATCAATAGGGTGTAAGTGATCAACAACTAAATGCTGTAGTGGAAGAAAATTATTTAGGAAAAATGGATATATTATGTATACATTGTAAAGCAGTACATTTTGTTTCAGAAAAGGTGGCAAATAAAGGTTTTTCTTTTAATGATTGTTGTTCTCATGAGGCTGTAGCTTCCTTGCTAAAACAAGGTCATTCAACCGGATTGAAAATCCAATCCCCTTCGAGTCTATTTCTGAATCCTACAAATGACAATTTAAATATATTAAACTGGAATTAATCTGAATCCCCATTAATATTTTTCTATCCTGAAATTAATTATTATAATATGTAAAATTAATTTCGGGATAAAAAAACATTAAAGTGAATTAAGATTCATTCTACTTTAATGAATTTCAATTATCATTTATAGGATTCAGAAATAGACTCAAAGCGGAGTGGATTTTTAATCCAGTTGAATGTCCTTGTTTTAGCAGGGTTTAGAAAGTATATTAGATTTTCCTCCAGAACTGTATAGGCTATTTAATGGAAATTATCCTAAATCAAATAATTTTTTTGAAAACATTCATTATTATAATAATTCACTTTATTCGCCTCTTTTAATGCTAATCTGGTTAATTTTCAATCACGCCGTCCTGGACCTTTTTGTTTCAAAACTCGTGGACAAATACGAGTATACTATCAAATTAATACAGCTCTTTATCCTTGTGAAAATGAAAATCCGCTGTATGGACAACTGTTTTTGGTTGATCAAGAAGAAGCTCTTAATGTTAGAAAAACTCAAAATCCTCATTGTAACGGAGAATCTCGGCTAGACCGATCTCGTCCGTTTGGCTCTCGCACATGTCCGTGCGCCGCGCCAGGCTGAGAGTGTGTGCGTTTGGTACACACACTCATGTTTGGACCTTTTGTTTACGAGGTGCTGAACACGGGCTGAGCTGACGACCGGAGCGATGCAGATGGCACAGGAGAAGAGAGAGAAAGAGAGAAAGAGAGAGAGAGGGAGAGAGAGCTCGAATTGCGAATCGCCGCGGAAAATTCGGGGAGTCTCTGCTAGCGATGAGCAGAGGAAGTCGCGCGCGCAGATAAAACCGAAAGGTCACGGTTTTCCAAGTTGGCCCCGCGACCTCGTTGACGTTCGTTTCGGAGACCCGCCCGGTGCGCGGACGAGTATTGGAGCATGAGGCTGGGTCGCGCCCAGCCGTGTTCCGAAGTATACCGGCACCGGTGCATGTGGGTAACCGGCGAGGTGTGCGGGTGCGCGCGTGAGCAGTCTGGACGTACTGCAGTACCGAACAATAAAGAGGCGGCGGAGACAACAACAACAACAATTAACGAGCGAGGTACGGATTGAGGCAGCAGTATTGTGGAGCGAACGAGGGAACGAGAAGGAGGAAAATAGCGACGACAACAAGCATCAGCGAGACGGTCAGCGGGGAGCACATCAGTGACGTCACGGTGCAGAGCGCTCTAGCCGTCGGAGAGGTTGAAGGTCGAGGTCGGTGCCGTGTTTTTCTCTTACCTCCCTCTCTCTTGCATGTTTGGGCGCTAGCTTATGGCTGGTAGCACGGCAGACCTGCTGGCTACCCGTTGGTAGTCTATCGGCGGAAAGTGTTTGTCGGGCATTTCGCTCGTAGTGTATAAGTCCGAGGTCGCCGTATTGTAATCGATTGTTGACAATTAAAAGACTAGTGTGTTAATCCGCTGTTGTGTTTATTCGCCGCTGTATCACTCCTCATCCCGATCTCGAATCTGTGCGTTTAACGTAGTCATGTTCGACACGTTATTCAGTCGTGGGAACGTCTTTTGCTTTCCGAATCCCCGAAGAAATAATTTGTGCGGACGGTCGCGAGCAACCCAGTTGGGTACGGCCGGAATTCTCCGTTACATCATCTTGATCAAGAAACGCTTTCAATTTGAGTTAGATAAAGTAGTTAGTTAGTTAGTTTAATTATTTACAACTTATATGTTACATTTGGTTTACACTTCTTATATTACTATTTGTGTCTCGTATCCAGTTTGTGTAGTTGATTATGTATGTGTTTTGTGTGTGTGTGTGTGTGTGTGTGTGTGTGTGTGTGTGTGTTGTGTAAATATGTGCATTTGTAGGTGTCTCTGCAACTCCTGTGTCCTTGTCTTCTGCGCCTGCCTGTTCCCCTTTTCTTCTCATTTTTCTTCTGATTAATCTTCTCTTCCTCTTTCTCTCTCCAAGATCTGCCTTTTCCGCTCTTCTGTTTTCTTTTCAGCTTTTCCTTTATTACTTTCTTTT